ATACTATTGAATGAAATATAGAACTTCCTACTTATTACCAAGTTAGTAAAATAGTTCAACTGTTTCAACTTACAATAATGTGAAGATCAATACGATTCTGGTTGTCTTCATGCCTTAGTCTAGGTGCCAAGAGGAGTAGCGAGTTTGTCTTCTCCCTAGCTTATCTATGAGTTCTTCAGACGATGCTTGTTCTGGAGGGCTCGTACCAATAGGATGAGAACGATGTTTGGACTGCTTCCCTGGTCTTGTGAGTTGTCTTCCAAAGTTCGAAATTGTTCGGATAATTGTTATAAATTGTTAAAACAAACCGGTCTGGTACGCGATGTAGAAACCGTTAACGACTAATCCTACCGACTGCGCCAGTTAAAACTCTGCTTTCGAAAAAGAGATTTTTAAAAAATTTTATTTCAGCAACTTTGGTTTAGTAACAACTGACTCCTATATCTTAGCTTACATATTTATATGATATAATTTGCAGCATCGGCATGCAGGTGTGCGTGGTGCCGCGTGCAATGAAATGCGCTTAGTAGTAGTTATTCGAGAATATTACTATGCACATTATGTAATCTGTTGTAAAGCAGAATTTTTTTTATCACTTATTTATTAATTATTCAACTCGAAAATATATATCTTTAGAAGAAATGACCGACAATTCGGTTTGTTATCAACGGGTACCTAAGTCTCTTATATTCTTCCCTAAATTGGAAGGTCGTTGTTTTTTCAACAATGAGCGCTTGCTTTTGTCTTTGAAATCATAATTGGTTTCTTTCCTTAGGGATGGCACTTCCAGCAATAGATCATTCCTCTCGCTTTGCGGCTCTTCAATTCCTGACCTCTAGATGAAAAGAATATACGATTCTAATCGTGAACAGTACCTAATTTAGTCTATTTCCACTTTTCTCTGCCAACCATTTAATTCGCATTTCGCATCCCTGGCGGTTCATAATTGGATTCACGTTTAAACATTCCTTTAATAAGGTGACATCATCCTCGGAAGTGAACTTTAACCGGGTATTCTTATTTCCGCTCATTTTAAAACGTCCCCTGGTTGAAAGAAAACTTGTATTTGAAAATGTGTTATATAATGAAATAATCTCTAAGCAATCGTTATAAATGTCAACTGCATAAGGTAGAAATAAAGCGTACAGTATCGCTGCACAAATAGCACAGAACAGTATCATTATTAGGAGATCCCTTATTTTTAGACTCAATTGTGCAGACGTTTGCGTCAAAATACCACTCTTTCGTTCCGACTAACTAACTATCGACCGTTCAATAACTCTCTATTGTTAGATCTGTTTCTAAAACTTTCCAAGTGCTTTCAACTTTAACTATCGTAAATATATGCAAGTGCGGTAATGCTAGTTTTAGAAAATTATTAAAATTTCGACATCGTATTCGAAATGTTTTGCACTTTTCCTACCTTAACTTGCAATTAAATAATAATATTGGTATTTCTCGCTGTATTGAAATTGAAATCTGAAATCTGCTCTTTTCGGGAGCAAAACCTGAATGTAGGTGAGCAGTTCCGATATAAGAACAACAATTAATTTACTCTCGGTATCAACTAAATCCAACGTTTCCACCAAGAAATATTTACATTAAAATGTGTTCAATTCGGAAATATTAGATCAATATTTTGTCCTCGATATTATCAATATTTCTATTTACAACTCGATTTTATTCAAGTTGTAACTAGCTTGTATACCCTTTAATTAATTGTTGCTGAATTCCATCAATTTATATGTGATATAGTACAAATATTACAAAAGTGATAATGTGCAATGCCAGTCTGGCGCGTCCATTTTTGTGCTCCTATAAATAGTTTCCTTACTTGGTGACTTCTTCGAGTTGTCTCGAAACCAACGACCTCACGTACTAATTAAACTTATTGATAATTTCAGTACATTTGCTGCTTAGTATAAGATTGAAATGAAAATCAACTGATGCGGCATTTTTAATGTTTACGATAAATGCTATTTATTTTGAAAATGATGATGATAAACTTAGGGTGTATTTAATAACATTGCGAATTTACCCGGAAAGCATAGACGTAATATTTGCTTAACAAATATCAACAACAGCTCCATAAATTCCTATTTTTAGACAAGCATTGGTCCTGTAGGATTTTATTCGCATGTACCACAAGGAAAGAATGTATAATCCTTCATGAACTACAGATATTGTTCACAGTAGGACACAAATAAAATATTCTATATTTATAAAGATTTTTCACTTAAAGTCAATTTAAAATTTAATGCCAAAATCACATACTACCTAGGTATTAGTAAATCCAATCAGCAAGCTAATTAGCTGCGACATCTTACTCCGCTACTATTTATATCTGAAACGGTTATTTATAATTGTAAACATGCGACAATTAATTTATATCGCCATAAGTATTAAGGTTAACTATTACAATATTGTTGCTAATCGAAATCGTATTTATAACACGCACGGAAAATATAAAGCTTGATAATCAGATTTTAAGTTTTATATGCAGTGTTTTATTTGAAAAATAGCTTTAAACAACTAGGTAGCCGAAAACGTCGACTTGATACACGTTTATAGTTACATATCTGTTTTCAGTTATAATTATAATTCACCTTTTAGTACATTAACAAGTTAACTTAAGCTTGGCGTTTTTCAATCTCACACAGATGATTATTTTAGGAAAACCATTCATATTTCTAATGGTCTAGTCTTACAGACAGCTTTTGAGAAGAAGAAGAACACTGTGTTGAGTTGCGCTTTTGAGTTGGTGAGTTATAACTCACCGCGCCTCACTGCGCCGTACCTCGAATTGACGCTTTTGACGAACATTCAAAAAGTCTTTTGTTACACACCACCATCCAAACCAGACAAAACCTAAAAATAAAATAATAAAATAATGGAAGGTAAGGAATTGCAATGTGAAAACTTACTCAGCACAGTAACATTAGTAAGCCAAGCAACTATGGATGAAATGCTTTCTTTTAAAATGGATTCTATCCAAAGATATGATGCAGCGGTAAATACTGCGAAGAATACAATAATCCATGGCACATATAGAATAGACCAATTCTGAAAATTTTCATTAATGATCAGTAAAGTAAAATCTCTTTAGTAGCCCTAATTCAAAGGAAATACATAATTGTACTTATATTTTGTTGCCTTTTTTTTCAAATACGCACGCTACTATTTGTAGTTCCAACAATAACAATGATAAAATCTGTTTAAAGTGGCGAATTGAAGTATTTTAACCACTCTAAAAGTAACTCGTCGATAGGCCTGGGTAACACTGAGTTATAAAAATCAGGTTGGAGGAGGTATTCTGCAGGTGCAGGGCCAGCAAATCGAACGTGTTCGGTCATGTAAATACCATGGATGCCAGGTCAACAAAAACTGGAATGCTATGCAGGAGGTCCGTGCCCGAATTGAAGAGGCCAGAGCATCATTTGTGAAAATGAGGTCCTTGTTGTGTTGCCGAAGTCTGTAACTCTCCGTTCGATATTTTTTTGATATTCTTTGATATTCTCTATTATAGAATTGAGGCGTAGACTCAGCAGACGTCATATGCAAAAATATTGAGGCTTTCGAACTGTGGGTGTATCGACGGATGTTGAAGATATCCTGGATGGACAGATTGCGCAATATGGATGTGGTCGCGAAAATGGCAAAAGATCTCGAAGCTCATGCTCACACTTACTTTTCTTAAATTGTTCTCAAATTAATAATAGAAGGAAAGATCGAAGACAGAAGAGAGTCAGGGGGTCGAAGAATATCGTGGCCAAGGAATTTACGTCAGTGGTCTGGTGAGACTACGACAAGTCTCTTTAGAAAAGCGGTCGACAAACTACAGATAGCGCTAATGATTGCCAACGTTCTAAGAGAACAGGGTACTTAGAGAAGAAGAAGAACACTGTGTTGAGTTGCGCTTTTGAGTTGGTGAGTTATAACTCACCGCGCCTCACTGCGCCGTACCTCGAATTGCGGTTGTGGCTGAATAATTCTTGAAATCAGAACTTGTAATTTTTAATTAGTTGAAATTTCGTTGGTTTCTATCATCGTTCGGAAGTTGAGCAACAATTTAATTTATAAGCGATTTCTTCGCGGTTATTTTCTTTAGTCAATATTAAAAAAAAAACAAAATTAATTCGCTTATTAATTTTAATTAATCACTGTAGCTGAGTGAGATTCAGACAAATATGAATTGCACTAAAATTAAAATTAAATTAGTGGAAGATCAGCACCTGTTGTTGACTTTCGTTAAGTTGGAACGTGAAATTTGTTTTTGGAAATATTGCCGGGCGAACAGTCACTTTCTACGAAAATGTCAACAATAAACAGGCTGAAATCGAGCTGTCAAGTGAAGCATGAATCATCGAAACGGCGAACAATTAAATAATTAAATAATCATATTTATTCTGTAGTTCGGTGTCTTTTTTTTCTCGAGGAAGTGTATGAATGTTCAGTTTGCTACCGCATTCCTAGATGAGAAATATAGAATCATTGTGGCCCTTAAGGCAAGTGCGATAGTTTTTGAAAATGTAGTGAACTTCTTAAAGATTAATGGGTAGAAAATGGAGGATGAGGCGCCAGCTAGCAAAAAGCTAGTAAGAATTATTTCTAATCTTTAAAGCTTTTAGCTTGAACTAAGTTTAGTTTTCCGACAAATAACTGAAGTTTTATGGATTCTGTAGATATATTTCTGTCTCTTTGCTTCGCTGGGCGGCTTTGTATTTTCATATTAGCTCATCTTACGCTTTTCGCTAAAGAACCGCATTAGGTATGGAGATTTGATTTCCAGTATTCAAGCCAATTAGCATCAGATTACTGATAGTGTGGGTTTGGTTCCGAAAAAACCGTCTTATGCAGAAAGTCAATCTTTCAAGTTGCTACTGGTTTTATTTTGAAAGTTGGAATTTTTAAATGAAGCGTATGCATTTGCGTGAAAATCTGAACTTGTGGAATATTTTTCGTTTTTGAGAAATTCATTTTTGAAAAACTTAATTCAAAATGTGTGCCGCCATAGTTCTTTCACATCCTGCGAAACTTTTCCTAATCATGAGTCAAGTTCGAAATTTTGGCAAAATTTAGAGCAAACTCTTCTATACCGAACGCACAACTCTGAACATGTAGAATATTTTTTGTTCATGAGTTTTTCATTATATCTCGTTGCGTCTCACTCTGCCATGCTTTAAATCACTCTTAGCATTTAACCCAGGGACGAATTAGAGCTCTTCGAGGCCCGGGGCTGGAATTGCAACACCTAACAAAAAAAGATCACCACATTATTTAAGAGCAACATTTTACCAAATGGGTGACTACAACGCAACTGCACCGATGAGTAACTGTGGCGGCGAGTTGGGTTGGCGCAATAAGCCATTTCGGCAACACTCTGCCAAATCCTGAAGATTAAGAGCCCTTGCCTACTAGTAGATAAAAAGTTTTCAGTTTCCACAGGTGCTATTTGCAGAGCGAGAAGTAAATTTTTAACATAGAAAAATTACACGCCAACGTAGGCTTTTTCAAACATTTACAAATGTGATTGCCATCAAGAATAAGAAGACATCAACAATATCTTCTATCTCCCACCTTTTAACAGAAAATGCATCAGATCAGAATTTGCAAACCGACAAACAGAACCAAATAATGTAAGAATACGGAAACATTGAAACTATTGAAGAGTGTAATATCCATACAACAAAAATAGGCTCTAAAGAATAAAACGCAAGAAAAAAAGCAACAGCTATGGAAATCTGGTTAAGCAAGACTGTAAAGTGGTACAAAATGTGAATCACGTCAAAACATTCTCAACTTCCATCAGAATATTTAGTTAAGTTAACAGGCAATAATTAGAAACTGATACCGACAGAATAGTCTGCATGTATTTTGTGGGTCATTAGCAAATATTCCCAGTAGATCTTCTCTTTAGTGTTCCTTTAGAATTCCTCTTTAGGTGCTTCCGACAAAAAACACTATTTTTCGTGAACTAACGTTTCGGCAAAACAGRTTTCTGCCGCTCTGTTGACCGATTAACCCAAGCACCTAAATAAACACCTTTTACCTATTATACGCCTTTATTTACCTTGCTACCCTTAATTATAATTGTAGCATCACGGTCGCTAACAAACTATAACATAAAATTTACTTACATTATTAATTCCCAAAACTAGTAGAGTGATTAGCACAAAGTGTACAATGTAATAGCATAGAGCATACACTATTTCGTATGCGTTCACTGGATACTGTTCGTTAATTCTATCATCAGCGGTCACATAAATACCATAAAGAACTAGAATCTAAAACATGTCAATGTAATGACATTGTAAACATTTATAGAAATTGTTCATACATTGATTAAAATTTGATTCAGTGACGTAAAACGACCAAATAAAGCAATTCTAATACATTTTTCAACTAGTTCCTAATGAGTACTAAAATAAAATATTCCAGGTTTAAGCGTATCAATAAAAATAGCCATGTTTTCTGTGGTTATTTTTATCAGATACTGTATCAGCAAAGAAGCTTTAAGGTTTACTTTACTACTAAAATTTATTTCTTTTTTTTAAATTTTTTTAGAGTAGTTCATTCGTTTTTTTCAAATAGGTATACCCAACATGGGCAGTTGTATTATTTTCTTTTTTTTTTAGTTTTGTTAGTTCTCGTGAATATTTATTATTAATTTAACATTGAGCTCCTTTAAATTTAATATTTAAAAAATCATGTTTCTATTTGAGTGTGCTTAAATGGTTTATAAAAATATTATGTGTGGGATAAGAAGTTGCATATCTGTAGAAACATCGAAACTCGCTTAGATCATTGGGATAGAGGCCAGCATGAAATTTCAAGATCAGACAATAACCGCGTTTTAAAAAACTGCCCAAAAACGCCTCAAATGCGTCGAAAAGCGTTATACAGGGTGATTCAAAATAGGCGGCATTCCTCTGGAGGTGTTGCGGTGTTTTAGGAGTACAGGAAAAATAGTTTAAAAAATTAATTGCTATTAAAAACTGAGAAAATTGCAAAAAACTATATCAGAAAGACGGCAACAATGTTTCTAATTCATGGTAATCTGCCTAATTAACATTACGTAATTACCTGTTGCTTCGGAATTATTTAAAACTCCGGTAACCGTGGAGTTATTAGTGCCTGTGTAATCTCCTTATTATCCACTCTTATCGAGCAGCTTCTCGTATTCCGTTAATTAACTCCTGCTCACTTTGTAGCGGTGTTCATTAATCCATTGGTTTAATGTGATCTTACATACGTGGTAGGAATGTAACCCTTTGGTTACATTCCTTTTTATTTTCAAATTTATTTGGTGCTTGGCAAAGTGGCAAAGTTATTGTGCTATGAGTACCCCTGGAGGGCTCATACTTGGTCCTCTGTCCCATACTATGTCCCATACTTGGTCCTCTGTGTCTGGAACAAGAACATCTGCTATCTTATTGCTTATTGCCGTCTACTATCTTCTTTGAGACAATCTCCAGTGTCTCTTTGTTGGCGTGAGTTTTTACAGCTTCTGCTATCTTACTGTGACATTTCCCGAGAACTAAACGCATCTCGCAAATTCGTGAAAGGAGCTTCAAAGTAAGTCACAGTTTGACAAAATATTGTTATTATTGACAAAGGCTATCCAGCTGTAACTATCTGTTAATGACAAAAACATCGCTGCCGATTTGATTTCATCAAAAATTGTAGAAGAGAACCTTTTTAATATAAAAAATTTTCGTAATTTGAAACAAAGATCGCAACTTTTCTTTTTGAATGCTTAAGTATTCCAAAATGCTACCAATTAAACATGGAACAATTTCAAAATAATGCTTAATAAAATGTGAAAAATGTTTCGTATTTTTCCCGTATCTCTCTATAAGTGAGACCTTATTTCCCCATGAAAGGAATGGCGCCAATTTTGAATCACCCTGTATACAGATATAAATATGTATGTGCACAAATAACATCTTATTTTTTTGCAAATGGCTACAAAGTAACCTGTTCGTAAAGCAGCATTTAGAAATAACTATATTGAGAGCTAATGCAAAATTTTTAAATTTTAATAAGATGTATTTTTACCCATAATATAAATATACTAAAATATTGAAATGGTAACTTTGCCGAGTATCCTGAATCAGTAATTAAGTCCGTTCAAATGTGCCAAACATAATCTTCAAATGTTTTGTGATCGACACTAAGAGCAGTTAACGTCTTTTCAATCATTTGATCTGAACTAACGAGATATAGGTATACTGGCGCTGTTCAGACATACAATTTAATCAGTTACAGAGGAGAAGTACTATCTAGTTCTCATCAGTTATCGAGGAGAAGTAGATAGCAGCTTTAATTTGAAATGAATTTAATCAATTTCCTCAAGCGCTGCTTTATAGCATGGTTATTTGTAGAGTCCCATTGATTTTTTGCTGTTAATTTTCGATCTAATGTTTATCTTTTACTTTTAGAAATATTTAGATAATATGGATTAATTAATAGGCATGTATTTGCTATTTGTAAGGAGCTGCAAGCAATTAATAAATTAGTTACCATATGAACCCAAGCGACGGCTATAACTCTCCATCGTCTATGCGAAAAACTAAACCATTTACACACCGACATTATTTTGAATAATGCTCGTACTTATTTTTTTACGGTTACACCATCACAATTTGTATTCTACTTTTAAAGCAATTAACAATTTCAATACTATTAAACTATTAGGTACATACTACAATTTTACTTATGTGGGGACCACGGTTATCACACTGCGAATGCAAATAAAGTAATTTTGAAAGGAAATTCCAGAAATGATAAGCAGATAATATAATATGTCTGCTAACTGTTCTACTTAGTCAATACGATAAAAGTACCGTACGTGGAGAATTATCTCCAGATCTGCTGCTAACTGAAACTAAAACTAAGTGAAAACATTGCACTGTCTGTTAGTATGCTATCGGTTCGATTTCTGTGATATTTGATTGTAGCAAGTTTAAGTCCGACGTTGGTGAACTGTAAAACGAACAATTACCACAGAACATCTCCCCAGGGGGATACTCTGTGACAATTACGTTATAACATTGAATAGTTTACTACGTTTGTCTGAGGCCACAATCTCAATTTCTAGTATTTTTGTTCAGAAAACAAATATTGGTAAGTGTATGGTGTGATAAACATGCACCATGTTTATCGCATTATATATGCAATATTTTGGATTATTTACATATGGAATAATTATAGGACATTTGTCGATGGTGAATTATATTGCAGACAGCTAAAATAATGGCTTATAATACATAGGTAGCATTAGCGTTTTAGAGAATTCATGGTTCTCAGTCAAAATTGACGTCAGTCCTCTGGAGATGTTTTGTCGGGGGGTGTTTTAGGAGTACAGGAGAAAGAGTTAAAAAAATGATTTATATTTATAGCCTCTTAAAAGGAATGACACCCTGTATAAAGGCGCACCGGTATTATTTAAAGTGAGCGTTTCTGAACAAAAATTTGGAAAAATATGATTAAACCGAATTTATTTGGTAACATATTATATAAAAACCACAACGGCTATTATCTTAGCTCGATTGCTTTTCAAGAAATAAATTAATCAAAGTCGATCCGGACTAATGAATCTCGAACGACTGAAAAATTATCATAAATCTATAACTTTGCAACGTTAATTAAAAAGAGATATAACCAGAGACAACTTATCCGGCCGTAGTAGTAAAACTGATAAAATTGTCACATATATGTAGCTTAATACGTTGCAATAATCCGGCCAATCTCTCTTTCTCTGACAACAATTTTTAGTTTTCTTAAAAATTATTTTCGATTATTTTGTAATTAATTTTTCTTCGCGCAATTGCACTTGGTGGCACTCAATATTTTCCAGCTCATTGGTAAATTGTAAAAGTGCTAAATTCATTTGATTGGCGCAAAGAAATTTTGCAATATTAGTTAAATTGTTGAAGTTATTGAACCTGTGTAGCGTTCAGATCGCCATGAAACAATGTTCGTGCCCCATACGAATTTGCGACTACGGAAATAAAATATTTTTTAAAATTATCTCGTTGTCTCATCATCTAATCAGTTTTTGAACAAATTTTCAGCTGTTTTTATCGATATTCTTATAGTTTTGCTCATCTTTCTGGCTTCGTTTTAGAAAATCTATACTATCGCTGTAATTTTCCACTTGTAGAATATTTCTTTCTGTATTGTTATGTCACTGTACACTTATACACATTATTTATTTTGCTTTGGATTTTATAATATTTACCATTTCTGTTGTCATTTTATCTTCTCCTGGCCATCTGCTGTTTGCACTGCTCCATTGAATTCGTCTCTTTAATCTGAATGCGTTCAGTAATACGTATTTTGTATGTTAATACACACATTCAATGAAGGAATAATTAAATATTGCATTAAGTTAACATTATGATAAACAGTTAAAGCTGATCAGCTTCTTTTTATTGTTTCTGGGATTTTTATATATATTTTGATTTTTTTAATAGAAAACATTTTTTTATTTGGGCAAGTATTTTTACGATTCGAAATTATTCTTCAATCTGGGAATATCTTCGAGGCACACATAACAAAGTGTTACATTGTGAATTGAACAGTCCAGTATGGGAACCATATTAGTCTTTATGAAAATATATATGGCGTTTTATAATACTCCTATTAGTGATAATTTAAAAACTACAATTAATTCTAGAATCTAAACTCAAGGGCACGTAGTTTCATTATTTTACATATTGCAAAAAACTACAGTACGAAGTTAAGATACTAATTTTTCATCTAGAATTGAACTAACTATTCATGAAGGATCATCCTTTGAATTTTCTTATTTATTTCTATTGTATTTTTATAGTATTTTTATTAAAGAATTACGTCATTTTCTGCCATGATTAGGTACAATGTCGTCCGCAACAGCCCCTTCTAAAATCTGCATTATATAAGTTGAATTATTTCACTCCTTATAATGCATTTATTAATTATTTAATCCATAATTGTCTATTCTTGTCGCAATCCGCTATGACTACTAAACGTCTTATATCGTATTGTTAATAATGACTATTAGTATTATAAAAATTGCCTCAATTTTTTAATTTAAATTTTATTTTAGTTTTAATAAGTACTTATTTTTCTAGTTGTTTGAAAAGTCCATGAAAGTCCTTCGTTTACAGATTTTCATGACTCCTTGATTCTTAGTTCCGGATCTAAATTAACTTTACGATTTTCCACATCCATAGTTCGCTTCGCTATAGAGAAGAAAATTACATTTGTAATCGAATGAAAAAAATTTTGTATCAATTCAAACAAATCAATTGAAATACAAAAATTTTCTGATTAATAAAAAAAACGTCCTCTAATAGATTCCGCTTCAGATACTTTTGTAAGTTGATTGGTTTTGGAATAATTGAAAATCAATATGCCTAGAGTTGCTACTCAGAGCCGCATTCACATTCCAACTATTAAAGATTTGCAGAAAATCAGAAAATGATCAGATCAAACTGAACTTACAAACAGCGTACACTTTTTAGCTATAGATCTTTTTCTAGTCTGCTTTACTATCAGAAAATATATTTATTAAAGTCACTTTGCCTAGAGCCATAGCATAAATTGTAATTTTTATGCTGTGCTAGAGCGTTCTGTTTCGAGGAGACAACCATATTTTTACGTCCAACCAATCATTAAAAATACAACCAAATTGAATTTTGCAAGACATAATTGGTTTCTTTAGTAAAGAAATTTAACCGTAGGTCAAAGTAAACATTTTAACCGGTACAGGCATATTATTATCGTTTATTGCCAGCTCAGCACTCCCAATTTTAATACTTTTAAAAGTAATAAAATATGAAATGGGCCCAATTAACAAACTTCTTTATATTCATCTAAACATTCTAAACGATCCTGATTAAAAGTACTTTATACGTGACAAAAATATGTATTGCCGTAATATTTGATACAGCAAACATAAAGTTGCCTCACACCAATAAATGTAATTAAATAATTTTTTGAAACAATTTACGAGCAAAATAATTACAGTCGGTTTAACATGTAAGTGAACTACACTCACTGCAAAGCCGGCAGGCGAATTAGATATATTACTTAAAATATGTTAATTATTCATACAGTAGTTGTATCGACAGCTTTTTCTGGAAAAGAAGCCAAATAATTAGGGGGCATTTGGCAAGTTATTTCATCCACTCTCGCTTCCACTGAGCTGCTATTGTAAATTTGCAATTCAATATAAAACCTGTACACGTTATATAATCCAATCCACAAAGAGACTAAAAAATACGAAAATTCCTTTTAGAAGGTTGCCACAAAAGTGCTATAACTACACTTACGACATAAAATAAACACAAGTATAAAAACTATTGATATTTCCGGATTAAGGTTGTTCATCGCTGTAAATATTGTTAAGGTAAAGAGGATGACAAACTCTAATAGGATATAAAGAAGAACAATTTTTTCTTTGCCCTAAAAACAATAATGTTGTCTAATTTCATTATAGCTTTATAGTATAGAAAAATTAATTCACTAACCGTGAGTAGAGCAGCAATCATGATGCATCCTGCAATAATATTTATTATTCCTATGAATACTCCACAGGCAAAATATGTTTCAAATGTGTCGAGAACTTTGCTGTTTGTCAACCAGATACTTCCACCTACGATTATAGCTATACCAAGAAGCTAAAATATGGAAAATTATTAGAGTTTCTTGGTAAAATTTAATTTTATGAGCACGTTTATGTTTATTCTTTTTCTCGGATTAAAATAGTAACACAAGCAACTTACCAGATTTTTGAAAGCCATTAAAATGGCCCACGATTTCAAACTGATATAACATGACAAATTTAGGTTTTGTAACATAGTAATTATTTATTTTTCGCCGTTTACACTAAAGTACATTTAATATACTTAAATGTGTGCAAGACAAACTTTTACTGAGGAGGAAAAGACCGAGCACAGCCAGCGAAAACGGGGCGAACCAGACGCCAGACGTCTGGACGCCCAGGATCAAAATAGAGAGATGACTATTCCATTAGTATTGATAATCATTGTACAACTAAAAATATTTGTAAAATTTGCATAAATTCTTACAAGGCTTACGTGTACTACTAAAATAATTATTAATTTAAATAGTTTTATGGATAGAGGTGTCGCAAACGGGGTACAAAAGTCTTCAATCTTAACAAAGATCACTCAATAATATACCAGGTGATTAGACTTTGATTGACTCCAATTGAATGGTTTCTGAAAGAGGTGTTAGAAAGTAAAAATTTTGAAAAAAGATGGGCATGAATTATTACCAAAAGCCATATCTTAGATAACAGAGTTCTTTTCCTCGTTTATTGCTAAGATATCTCATTAACTTTCGCACTCATGAATTATTACTGTATATCCTAATCATAGAATCTCTTAGGCATCTCTTTAATTACATGGTGATTAAAAAACAACTTTTTGGCTCAAAACTTCACAGTGTACTTAAGGCAAAAATTCAATATACAGGTTAACATTGAAAGCTACCCAAATCAGAACTTGGTACCACGGAATCTGCAATTATAGGGAAGTTTACTTTCACACCAACTGTTCATGCTGCAAAATAACAACTCTATTTATTGGGAAGTTAGTAAGCCGCTTGCTTACCTGAATATGCAGAATAAACGAACTGGCTTGTAGGTGCTTCGGAATCAGTCGCAGAAGTTTTACGGGCCAAGTTGAGAGGTTTTGGCATGGAATACATCTTTTTACTTTGATATCCATGTGCAATCATGGTTGAAATTTTATTGTTCCAGCATCGCTAAATCATACTTACCATTATGCTCATAAATTTGCCTAACAATAAATTGCGACAGCCGTATGTCGCAGCAAAGATTCAGTTGAATAATAGAAGAGCGATGAGGTGTTCAACAAATCACATCAACATTGTGCATCTATTCTTTCGTTTCTCTTCAATTTTCTTGTCAGTCTTCTCCTAACACGCTCGCTAATCTCGAGAGAAAAGTCTGGTTAATCTATTTTTTAAATGTTGGGGTTGCCGAAAATCCGGTGGCTATTATGGTTTTTTGAGATCACTCAGTAATTGAACACAGACTCAGACACTGCTTCTCAATATGACCGTTTCTTCATGTACAAGATACTTACAAATACCCCTTTGCTGTTCAAATAAATTAAACTTTGTCTTATTCATACGGAATCATAAGAAACTTTCACAAACTGGGCTTCGTATTATTTTCGATCCTATAAAAAATTTTCTAAGTAGTATCATTAAGTACCTATTTATTTGTTGGAAAAATCCAGACTGGCAGAAAAAATCGAACTTGATAGCGCTAAAAGCAGAAATCAATTCGCTGGCAGCAATCAAAGTTTATGCAGGTCCAAACTTAGTGAAAATTTGGCGGTGAAACACTTATTTAGGTGATCAATAATTAATCTAAATTAGCACAACATGTGTTAAAGACCACTCGAAAAATAAACCAATCCTACCAATGCCCATAAACATGAAAAAGGAAACCAGGAAGGTAGTGGCACAATGCCAAAAGTAATCTTGCTGCTAATAAATTATTTTCAACTTTTTGGAGCAGATGCCTATCTATTTTTTTTAACAAGTTGTTTAATGTACATAGAGAACGCTGAATTAATAAAACTAAAAAATTGTGAAAAGAGGTCTAAAGGATTGACATGCAAATAAGGTCCTCTCACGTGCATATTTGATGAAATTATTGAAAATTACTAACAATCCATTAGATAGTACTCTTAAGCAAGAGTACAAAGTCGAATACAAGAAACTACGTAATTCCCAGTAAACGAAAAATAATACAAATGCGGCGGAACAAAACAAGAGCTAATCTAAACATTGCCGAAGGAAACAAATATACGAACAAATAATTTTATTATATTAACAATTATCTGTAAAGTACACAGTACTGTATATAAGTCTCTAAAGTATCGACTAGATTAGACAAAAAATCGTAACAACTAACTAGCTAAAATAACAATGAAATATAGAAAAGAACTAAGCCCATAGGGCTAATTTTTATTATCGTCTTTACATTCAGATTATTGGACCATTTTATTATACTTTCGCCCTCCAAACTGTCTTTATATAATACATATCTAACAAATACTAATTCACAATACATTTCTTTGGTTAACGATGTTATTATTTTCTACAGCAATTTACAGGCACACATAATACAAGACAACTTTTATAGAGCGTTTAAATTATTAAAAATGCTTACGAAATTTGTTGATAAATTTTAACAGAACTGTCCTTATAATTGTGCTTAAGATCAATCTCAGCTCTTATAGCACTCAGATTCAACATTTCCATGGGTCCTGTTTCAGTGGCTACAAATTCTTCAAGAATTTGTATTTAACTCTCCAGACTTCACTGATACATTGTCAATATTCTCAAGGGGAAGTTCTCCCCTTTCAGCTTGTTGAAGTTCTCTCTGCTCAGACTCACTAAGTTCTCTTACATTCCCTGGCAAGTAGTCCTTCCATGATCTGAATAAATATCTGGTGAACTTCCGAAGCTGCCTAAATTTGCAATAAGTTGCACCCTCGGCAGATTCCAACTGCTGAGTCTGAATCAGAAATCCTTTCTCCTTGAATGTTTGCTCCAACTTTTCTCTTTGGATCGATTTTCTAGATTTTCTCTTCTTGCTTCGTGTTGAACTGCTGCTGGTACCTTCCGGTGGAACATTCGCTATGCTGGATCCGGGCAGATCAGGGGTCAAAAGAAAATCAGACGATGACGTTCCGCCTGTGATTTCCAGTGGTGGCGCTGGATAAATCTTTTCTCCACTAGCTTGGAGAAAAGCTCCAGTGCTTGAACCTTGAGCGTTTGTAATTTGCTGCTGCAGCGTTTCTCTGGGGAAGAACTCATAACCTCTCATACTTTTATCCCCCGTGCCACTGTAATATCTAAAGCAGAAATATTGTTTTTAATTTTCTCACTTTTTACAATTAACTTAATATTTTGTACACAGTTGAACGTGTAACAGAATCATTTTATTTTGTTGGATACTATCTAGTCGTTTGCAATTGTATAGGCAATGACGTCAAAAAAAGTAACATAATGGTAAAACTTAAAATTATAAAAAATGCTCGCTTCAAAATGCGAGCAAAAATAAAAAAAACCTTAACTTCAGAATCACCCTATATTTTATTAGTTAAAAGAGATTCGGGAACATGTTTTGTCCAAAGTCGCCTTATAATCGTTGCTGAATAATCTGCCATTTTCAGCATAAATATTCAAGTAACTTAAAGAAGTTCTCGAACCAACACTCGTCTTTTTTAAATAGAACATTATATATTTTAATCTAAAATCATGGCATTTTAAATTGTCTTTATAATATAACACACCGTGGACGAAATTGGTTCCTATCCGATTTTTTTTAACTTTATAAATTTAAACCAGAGTAAGCCATGAAACAGAAGCTCATATTATAAAAGGGCAATCATTTTGACGTAAAATAAGTATTTTCCTTGTTGTTAAATTTTCTAAAATTTGCACTGAAGATGATGTGAGAAAATCAAAATTCTGTCACTAGTTTTTAAATAAATCTAACAAGGATCGCGTTGTTCAGGAAAATGTAATTCAGTCAGATGAACATCGAATTACAAATCTACATAATGAAAGACATTGGAACTCCAGAAATTCATGGTCTCATGGTTCGACCTATTCACCAACAAGGGCCATTTGTAGTAAATATAAGTTGCTTTTTGTTTATAAATAAACTGGTCTATCGCTGTTTTAAAGATAGACCGAAATACTCCAATCGAACCTATTCGATATTCTTGATGTTGTTCCCTTAAATGAAGTAATAGAGATTTGAGATTTTAACAAGATGGTGCCCCTACATCAAAATGCTTTTCGAATGGAAAAGAAGAGTTTCTCGAATTCGGAAGAATACTAAACTCAATGAGTATTCAGATAAAAACTGTGGAATATGAACAGATAGACCTATAAAGTAGCCATCACAAGCACCGGATCTAACACTTCCAAATTTTTTCTTTGGGGAATGTTGAAAAATACAATTTATAACATCATTTTAAACCGAGAAGAACTTGATCAAAAAATTCATGAGTCCGTTGAAGGTATAAATGCATTACACATCAATCATGAATTCATTAAATTTCTACAATTTGTTAATTGATTTTCTTGTTCCTACAATTTATTTTGCTTTTTATCTATTAAAACATATTGTGTCAATGTCTTTCCAGCTAGAATCCAGTTTCCGATTAAAATATATAGAGTTTCCTATTTAGCAAAATAAGTTTAGGTCCGATAAATTGTATACCCGATGCCGTATACTTATTCTGAAAACGGCAGATTAATCCACAATCATTATAAAAAAATTAAATATAATAGTTATCTGCATCGCTTTTAACTAAGAAAATATATAGTAATTTTGAAATTAAGGACATGATAACATCATGAGGACATGATAATTATTTTTTGATAGCACTAACAATTACGGAAAGACCCTATAAAAGTGTTGAAAATGGAACACTCTGTACATTATTTTTTGGTTGTTGTGCGAATAATTGGTGTGAATTTCCGAATGGAAAACAAAAGCATTTCAATTTTTGTATTTAGGAATTGGGAACGAAAACGTAAATTCTTGGTACTAAAAAAAATCAGTTTAGGCAATAAAATGACCACATCATATCATAAAATATTGGAATATCGGAAAAGAAGCAATTTAGCGAAATCTGAAACACTATAGATGGAAAATCTCTCGGGAAAGAACCGTCAAAATATCATAGTCATATATCGCGCAAATAGCAAAAACTGAGCTGGGACTTAACCAGAGCCTGAATGCTTAAAGCAGAACAAACGCAAATTGGGTCATTGAACAATAAGCCGTTGATGATGATTTTTCGAACCGAATTTTCTACAGCGATGAGGCTCATTTTTCGCTCGGTGGTTACGTGAATAAACAGAACAGCCGTATATGGGGCTCTCAAAATCTTCAGGTGATCGCAGAAAGTCTTTGCGTCCTGAAAAAGTGCACGTATGTTGTACATTATGGTGGTGTTATTGGCCCGTATGTTTTTCAAAACGATCAAGTAAGAGTCAATTCTGAGCGCTATGGACGCATGTTAACCGATTATCTTTAGAGAGAAATTGAAGAACTTCAAAAGGATTGAGGCCTGTAGGAGGTGCCGTGTAGGACATTCAAATGATATGGTTTTTCACGTAGATATAATGACAAGGCTTAATCTTGATATTAAATTAAAATTTTCGTCTCCATCTGAATATTTTGTGTGTTTTATTTACTTTACTTTCCCAAGCATAAAATGGACAACCCTATATATCAAATACAATAATAGTGAATATGTATGAACGTGCAGTAATATGCACTTGCAGAAATCATCTTATCTTCATGACGGCTCTGATGATGCCGAAAGGTTTCATTTTTCGCTTAATATGTATGTTTAAAACAGGTAAAATGGATAACAAGAAATTGAAACAATTCAAGTGGATTTTATGAGCATTAGCCAAATGCTATGGGCAGAATCAGAAATATGGCAAATTGGTGAAAACTTAGATGTGTTGAAAATGGGCTCTGCTATTCGGGGTTTCTCGTTCAGCCTAACTAAGAGATACCCAGTCTTTACTTTGCGTACCTACTTTAAGTAGGTATACGTTTGTATTCGAATTCTTATCTGGTGCAAAATACCAATGTATTTTGGTATAAAAAGCAACAGCTTTTTAAAATAAATTTAACCTTGGATACTTTCATCACTTTGCTGCAGAAATTAGCAGAGAGGAAATTAGGAACTTTTCAATCTATTTTTGAGTAGCGGTTTCTGACTATATTTCCTTAATTTATTTGCACCAATTTAACATTGAGTGTACCTTTAAAGTAGGTATAGAGAATATAAGTTTTCCAATAAAATATAGATTTAAGAAGAAACAAACGTATGTAGGTAAAAGTTTTTTTCACGAAACCTACGAATGTTTTGTGGAAAACTTGCAAACTAAATTTAAATTCGAAGTTAGTATTGTGCCATAAACTTTAGAACGCTATGAAAGTAACGCACAGGTTAAATTATTGCATTACTCAACACTTCTGGTGACTATAAAATCTATTTCGCGGGCAATGGCTCGAAACAGCATCGCAATTGCGTCAACATGGTTATCAATTTGGTATAGTAACCTTGACCTAAATGATGTGAAACTTTGAAGAGTGGAAAATATTGGAAAATGGCCTGTAATGGTCTTCAGAGAAAAATTTCTGAGCCACTTACGGAAATCAATTTTTTTTGTCAGTGCCAAAATATATGTTGTTTATTATTTTGAATTGTATGTCCATGACTGGACTGAATTGTGATTAATCCTGAATTTGCGCCTTGAAGAAGAAGGAAATTAAAAGTTTGGCAAAGGTTCCAGTAGATTTTTTTTAGTGAACATAACCTACCGATCCTCAATATTATCAACATAATGATACAAATCCAATAATGATGCATTATTCTAATTCTGCAGAGAAGTGCGATTAGTAATACATGGTACAAACTATATCTACTTAACGGTCTGACAAAGGACAATTAGTAGTGGACCAAGTAATATGGCAGAAGCCATGAATGAAATATTAAGCAAACATCAGCTTGAACAACATACGATTCCCAGCCTATACCGTACTATTAGCAAGAATTAGCAGTTTCAATACATGAGATGTAGACTCTCTAAAAATCAGTTCATTCAATCGGAATTAAGCGCAGAACCGAAAATTATTCGAAATGTGACTTCATCGACAAATACTCAGAATAATGAGAAAAGTGAGAAGTAAAAGAGGTTCCAGAAGCAAAAGAATATTGCTTAGCCAACTTGAGAAAATGGTGTGTAGTTAATTTTCCTGATTTATTTAGAACATAAGTGAATAAAATAGGCATATTTATGAATTCGCTCAAAATAACGGACTATAACGGGTGGTTGATCCTCAACTGGGCAAAAAGTTTCGTCACATTGACAAATTTTTCAAATGTTATCACTTGATAAAAAAAACGTTAGCAGTACCAGTTATTTATTATCACCTTTGTAGTTTTGCTTCATCTTACCTAAAATTTCCTCCAGAGTCGACAGACAACATTTTCTTTTCTTGTAAACTAGGTTTAGCACCTCCAGTAAACTTGAATTTACAAATGCTGACTTCCGTTGCCGGATTTGTAGTATTCTCTGAAGGTATTGGTGGTATAAAAATGGCTGAACGTTTTCGCTTTGCGGGAGTTTTCTCAGTTGCGCTGGCACTAGCGTTCCTCTTTGATTTGTTTTCATGCTGTCGATGACTAGCCTCCGGTCCATCATGAACTTTCGAAGATTTTGGCACGATTTTCCTTAAATTATCTAGATTTTCAGGCTTGTTGCCTTCACTACTGCTAGGAGGTGGTCTTGGACTGTGACTGGGAAGCTTGTAATTCATGTTACCAGCCAGCCGCTGATACATCATAAGTTGCTGCTGTAGAGCCATGGGATGAATGAACAATCCAGTATTAGGCCAATAAACATAACTGAAAATGTAAACAGATTATAGCAATTAGTAAAGTATATAGATTTGCATTTACTTTCTTTGCATTTATCCTTATATATAAAAATGTGGTTATTTCAAGGCATCGCGCTACCATCCACTTATATTACAAATGTATTTTTGTTGCACAATCATTGCTATTAAAATAACTTAAAACAACCCACAACGAATATTATTACTAGGTACCAGTAATGCCCACAATATCAGGTTGATGGGTCTGCTAATTATTTGAATACTACGCATGATATAACAGCACTTGCTAATTAAATATTACATTATTCCTTTCAGAGATGATAATTTCTAACGACTTCAGTTGGGAAATTAGATGTGTTTTATGTTATATTATTTGTCTTCTTAAGTGTACAGCTTACGGAATAGCTTTAATGTAGCTATATGTTTTTTAGGAATCGCTTAATTGCGTACGAGTTTCGTAATTAAGAAAATTGCTTTTTGGAACCAACGGATTTTTCCGAATCAATATGGAATGCGTTTGAGTTTGATTCGAAAACATTTTGCCATATTAAAGTTACGTAATCTATTTCCCACTGTAGAAATGTTACCGGAAACATACATGTAGGTACTTTATAACTTAAGTAGACATATTTTCCAAACTGATTGTTTAGCCCAAATTACACTTCTTATGTGAATGGGTCCTTTAAATAACCTTTTTAAGTTCACAGATTTGCAAAATTGTCAATGACGCTTACCATGACCAAATACCATGAAAATAGCAGTATTTCCTTCCTTTACGCTTCTTTCGCTTCTCGTCCTCAAAATTGCCATTTTAGAATTTCATGTGTATATTAAGTTGATCTTTGCCACACCGAAGTTTTTATTTGTAATAAAAATGTGTTTAAACGATTTTTGTTCTTGTTTATCAGTCAAACGAAAGTCTAAAATTTTTACCTAGAGTGGTTCTATAAAGCTTTTCCCATATACAAAAACCAATTTTTACGAAAGTATCTGTTCATCTGTTCACCAGACCGATTAAGCTGAAAAATAATCACAGCAAGTTAAGAAATCAAAAATGTCTTTGTATTTGTGCGCTTAATTTGAGACATAGACATCTAAGACTTTAGACTAACACTGGCCAGCTGGTAGAAGAGAAGGAAAGCAATACTCCCTACACAACCACAGCAAGCTAAGAAACAAGCTCCTGGTCCATTATCCTAATCCATCAATTCTAGCGGTTTTACTGATGCCCAAGATCTACTTAAAAACGATGACTGAAGAATGAATTAACAAATCTGGCGCATCAAGTATAGAATACGCAATTAGCTCAACAAACACCGATCATGAAAGTGCTGAAGAAGTGTACAAGAAGACAACAAACAGAAGCTTGAAAACAGCCAAATAACTCGACATATAATACGGCAAACCTAATGAACTTCTACTAAACAGTTATTTTAACACACTGAAGAACTTATATATTATCAACTATGGGCTTCATCGGCAGCAAAGACATGATCTTAATCATAAGGCCCCATTAAATACAGAACCTGAAAATAAAACATAAAATGCGCAGATCAGAAAGGAAGTTTTTAAATTCCATCATCGCAAAATGAACTAGCAGATAACTAATCAGATTATTCCTCGTGAATGGTGGCAAAAACTTATCGAACCCGTTTTGTTAATACCGCCTAATAATCAGCCTAAGCGATTGGCTCGTGATTATCAATAAAAAGCAGATCTATTTGCTAATTACTTGGCAATGTAGACCTGATACAGAAAATATTCCGACTTTCAGTTCAAATCAAATTAATTCAAAAGTATGCTTTATTGCATAAGAAAAAACTTAAACAAATTTTATGGACAAAACCAATGGTAAAAAAATATGATATGAAAATATAGCACATAAAACGAGAATGCACAATGGTAAAAACAATACAAAACATAGCACATACAAGAGCAATAGACAGTACAAACAGAAAAGTTATCAATACCAGTCAACTTTGCACACAAGCAGCGCAGTGTAACAACCATACATACATTAAAATTAACAAACAGGGCTGAATAAAATCAAGTAGCACCTAAAACCATAAAAAGGCCCTGGTCTGCGGACATTGTTTCAACAGTCGAAATTAGTCCCATTCAAGTAGTTCGTAGAAATTAGTAATAAGATGAATCTAAAGGCGGCTTTCGGGGTTTGATTTAATTAGAGAACAACAGTTTAAATAACTGTCGGAAAAACTTATACTCTAAAAATGTATTAAATGCCTCAATCAATCTGCATCGCGTAGCCGCAAATTGAAAAATTGTTCAAATTATCATGGGTTTGAAGCCTTAAAATGTTTTAGCTATAATGTTATGACATACCACCCAACAGTCCGTCTTGCTTATAATATTAAAGGTTTCAAAAAAATCGTTGCTGAAGATACTAGAACTAAAAATAGAAAAACAAGGTTGCAGACTACAATCGACCAAGTGCACAGTTAAAAAAACCTCTTCGCATACTTATTTAAAAAAGCCGAAAAAAATTACAATAATACAAAAAGTTTAAGACTGACCTTCCGGAACCCGCTGGACTTTCTGGTGTGTTCGGCGGATCTGATGGACTTGAGGTAGACAAACTATCTGGAGTAACCGAAGGAAATCGTAAGTCGCTTTTAGCAATAACTGATGGAGAAGGTGTTTCTGTTATGAGTTCTATGTCCTCATCTGACTGTGGTTCGGACTTAATATCTGTTGATTTCTCCGATTTATCCGGACGCCTTATTTTCAGATGATTCAAGTCTCGAATACAGAGGTTAAGGGGCTCGTTTTGATCATCGGCTTTTTTGTCCTGCGGATCCAAAAATGTAATTTTTAAACACTTATACAGTTCTCCTAAATTTAACTTCTTAATTTTACTAAACTTATGTAATTATATCTTACCGTTAAAACTTTCTTACTTTCTTGCGTTAGTCTTTTCTCAAGCAAACTACTGATGATTTTACTCTGGACGTCGAGCTTATTGAGGGCATCGTGTTCTTTTTCTGCGGCCGTATTTCTCTTCGGAGCAGTTGGCCGATAGCTTTCCAAGTAACTATTCGGATTGGGTGTCCCAGGAAATATTGTGCCATAATTTTTATAAATCAAGTGGCAAATGTCGGCCTTTTTTGGTTTCCTGCCTCTTCTAGGCTTAGAATTATCCAAGGTAATTTCCCCCATATAAGGTAAATCTTGATACTTCATCACCCTGGAAGGTGTAGGCACTTGCGGACTGGCAACAGGTTTCTTAACTGGCCCATTATGAACTTCGGTAATTTTTTTCAGCCAATTTTTAACCGACTCTGCAGGATTATCTTCAGGTATCACCGAGAAATCAGGCAGAGGGATAAGATCGGGTTTATCAAATGATGGAAGTTCCGCTTCGGAAGGTGATGAGGATTCTCGGGAGTCCACCTCAACTTTTTCTATATCGTCTTCTAAGTTGATATTGGAGTATTTCAAAGAACTGATGGATGTTCTAGAAATAAAATCATTTATTTTACAACTTATTCAATTTTTTGAATATGCAGGAGTTTAACAAGAAACATAGGCAAAACTTCAAATAAAGTAAAACCATCCTATTAATTAATACATGTCCGCAAATCATTCGTGATCTTACTACAAAGGGTGCACGTTTCAAGCATTTTTGGTGCGAATCAGATTTGAATACTGAATGTAGCAAACGGAGGAAGTGCAATGATCATAACGGAATCCATCTTACAGCATCAACAATTGGGTTACCAAACAGTGGAAATTCGGGCTACGTCTGTTAACATTAAAACGAAATCATACGAAATGATAAACAGCTTTATATTGCCCACCGAGATTTGCTATAAAGAAAGAACAATATGTGGGTTTTCTCGAAAACCAAGAAATTAGATTCATCAGTGGATTTGACTTTAACGCAAAAATGCGAAGTATTATCAACTGGTAAGCCAACCTACTGGCCTACTGATCCGCATAAAATTCCTGACCTCATAGACTTCTTTGCAATCAAAATATCCCATCAAACTATGCCCATATTGAAGAAGGATGGGACAAAAACTCAGATCACTCTCCGATATTTCTTACTCTGAGTGACAATGTAATCTAAAAAGAAAATCAACCGAGTTTAACTAACAAGATGACAAATTGACAAGTTTCAAAATAAAACCTGAGGAGCTCATTGAACTTTCAGTTCCACTTAGAACAGAAGAGCAATTATATGACGAAGTCTGTTGAGAACATTCAGCGAGCAGCATGAGACAACACACCTCGGTATACCCGGAAGACAAAAAATAGATAATAACTGTCCAAAAGAGGGTAGGAACTTTATTTCAGTATCGAGAAAACTGTGACGGAAATGGCATCAGACCAGAGTCCCAAGAGATGAAACAATTTTGAACAACGTAACGCAACAATGAAAACAGAAAATTCAGAGTATCTAAAACGAATCGACTGAAGAATAGCGGAGTGAATTCACTAGTGACAGTAAAACAGATTACTCACTTTGGAAGGCTGCCAAGAATGGAAATGACCAATTCTTTGTAATCCAATTCGAAATACGGATGGAAGCGTCCGCAAGAATATCCAAAAAGCGCATAGGTTTGCAGAACATCTGGACAGTATCTTCCAGTAAAAGGACGGAGAAGATCCTCAAGTCTGAACTGAACCAGCGCAACAAGATGTAGTCATTAGAAATACCTCTCCAGAAGAAGTCTCAGATGAAATAAAAGAAACAGCAATCAAAAAAGCCCCTGGGTTTTGACCTAATCATTGGTGTAGTTCTAAAACAACTCCCGAGAAAAGCCATAGTGCCAGTTGCCAATCTTATCAACGCATCCTTCAGATTGAAGAATGTTCCTAAGATGAGGAAAGTCGCCGATGTTATCATGATCGCTAAACTAGGGAAATATCAACCTATATAATTGTTGCCATTAGATCTATAGAATAACACAAGCGATAGATAAGAAAACAAGTCACACTAACAAAAATAAAATACATGTGCTATTTGTGGACTCACAGACACCCCTGAAAAAATGGTAGTAGTTTTTAAATGGAAATGTTTAAATGTTTAAAGTTTAAATTAAAAACTCATGAATTAAACTTACGTCCTCAAAGCTGAAAATATAAAAAAGAAAAAAATTGAAATAAAAAAAAACAAATCACCACACCTTCATGAGGCAAAATGGGTAGAGTTAACAACACATGGTTTGTATATTATAAAAAGAAAAGGCCGAAGCTTCCAAATAAATCTAATAAACGAAAATATGAGTTTTGGAGAAGAAGACAAAAGTCTCAAAATAAGACAAGGAAGAAGAATGCTATCTTGTAATCTAGTCTCTTTATAATTCAACATAAAGTCATTATAAGGTCCATCATCTCTAGAAGTACGAAATTAGTTGTAAGTAGTTATGACAATGCAATTCTAGAGATGGTCTATTGGATCATCACCAAGGGAAACTGAGTATAAAACAAGCAAATACGTTAATATGTAAAGCAAATTATACTTATTTATATTATTTATATTTATATTATACTTATATCATCAAGAAATGATAATTAAATAATAAAACTAAAAATAAGCAACAGAAGAAACAACTACGTGAGTACAGGCCCATCAAGCAAACGTCCGACCATCATATTAAATAAAGATTACTAACATGGATTCCAGATAAACAAACTGTTCAGAGAACCTTCAGACTGGAATGATGCAGATACTTGACGAATGATAACAGGAGAATGTTGTTGAATATGTAATCGAATTAACTATCAATTCCCACATTTTTGGGGGGTAGGAAAGTGTTCCTAAAATTGCAAATTAACGACTTTTTAATTTTAGACTAAAGATCTTTTCACTATATAGCACTATTCACCCTGCGACAGAAACTTGAAGTAGGGCGTTATTACAGAAAGCAGCAAGTAGCATTTTCGAATACTTACTCTGGTAGTTTATCTAAAGTATCTGCAGTAAGAAGTGTTGCGGTTTTGGTAAAAGTCATTTTGTCTGATAAAGGAGTCCCAGGGCAAAGCAGCGATTCCTCAATTTCTTCTGATTGCATCGTAGACGTCTCTGCAAAATAGATGTCTATATCAATTTAGTTGTTCGTGCTGATCCAATTGGCAATTTAAACAAAAGAAAAACAATATTTCTTAGAACTTAAATCTTTCGAGGTGGAAGTAAATTAGAACAAATAATGTAACATATGAGTTCCTAATTTAGTAACAATTGGTAGATTGTTTAAATTTATCTCAACGACGCTTGCGAATTGAAAGGCAAATATCTCTTCCTAACTTCCAACTATACGCATTACTTGTTGAAGCTAAAAATAAGACAATTTTACGCAACATTTTACATGTTTCCATTAATGACTCTGATTCACAGGTTTGTGTTAGAAGGCGTTTGTTTAGCAGATCGGCTATAAAAAGACCTAAAATTAGGGTAAAAGCTCAAAGGAAATCTATGATGCTAAAAATTTGCGAAATATGGGAAATAGCTTCATTTATGCATGACACGGATAATGCAGGATGTGCATAGATATGGATAAATTAGTATTTTACCTACTTAACAAAATAAAAATAAAATAATACACTACTAAATTGCCTACTAATTGAAACAATGATAATAATAATATTATAAAACAATAGGCTTAAATTGCTATAGATTTTCAGTTCATGTTTCTAAGCTAAGTACGGAATGACAAAATTATTATTGAAAATTTCTTTTGTAACCGGTTTATATAATAGTGGAAAGTAATAAACTCATGATAATTACTATTTGCTCTCCAAATTAGACCTGCAATTTGAAGTAAAATGTGGCTATGCGAACTGAATAAAAAAATTAAAAAATTTAAAAACCATTTGTATAATAATGAAACTTATTAATTGCAAAATATTTTAATAATATAATTACACAACTTTATTATTACTCGTTATTACATAACTATGTTATAAAAAGAATCGAAGCACACTCATAAAAAATATATTAAAAAGTTAAAATACAACTTAATATAGAATTGACAACATGACATAGAATTTACAAAATATCATGCACGCAGCAATAAAATATAGGAATAAGAGTGAAATAGGAATGCACTTACTTTCAATCATGATTCAATCTGCCTATTTCTAATATCACAGTTTTCAAGTAATAATATTAAACGTCACTCCGGTTCACAGAAAGTGAAAGTTGCCGGTTAGCAATGTCCATTGAGAAAAAGCCATCGGAAAAAGTAAAACCTTTCTGAAAGTGTCAACAATAAATGTTTAAAAAGTCGGTAAAAACCAAAAGCTCGCGAGTACTGGCCGTACAAGGCCGATATTGGCGTCGTGGCTAGTTATTTTAGGCGTCGGGACGCCTCTCCCGCCGGTTCCCGGTTTATTCTTGATTTGGCCGTCGTGAAACCCGAGATTGAACCTTATTTGGCACTAGATGTCCGCTTCCGAGTTATTATTAACCCGTACGGGTGTTCTTAGGTTGCCAGTTCTTGATTCAAGTGCCCAGTGTTGGCGACACTGCTTCATTTCTAGTTATTTTCATTGGATCTAAATTTTACTTTCATTATGATCCACACGTTCATTCGATATTTCTCAATCGAAATAAACTGTTGAAACTTCACAGTCACTTTCTTTTATCAACGGTTGTGGGCCTCACACCAGAAAACTTTATACATGTTTGCTACATTATAGTTCTAAAAGGAATTTTCTCATTACAATTATAGGTCCATTAACTCTTGTACTAACACTGTAAAAGTAATTTTTCCCATTAAGACCCTTGCCAGATTCAGAAATATCTGCAGACCGCACCATCTAAAACCGAATTAAATATTCTACAAAAGTCTTCCTTCAGAACGGTTATTCCCAGAAGGAGATCCAGAATAACTAGATTGAACCGTCTCGAAATAAAAATAACTACCAAAAGGGAAACAACACGTTTACACAACAAAGATAAATGTTACTCTTTCTTCCAATAGTGACGGGCAACTTCGGAAAGCTCCCAGGAAAACATGATGAAAAACGAATGATATAAAAACAATATGCAAGTTCACAGGTAAGCTTTCGATCAAAAAGGCTTCTAAAAACCCAAAAAACTTACTAGCTTCCAGCAATGGCTGCAAAAGTTGATGTAAGCGTCTATATTTAACGTTCCTTTAAACTAATATTATGCAAAAATACTTCAAATTCAATGCACAATATGAATCTGAATTAGTAAATTTTCGGATTTAAAACCGTGATATGGAACCACTTTGTATTCTTCAGAGTACCAAAAGTTAGTATTTTGTATACAAATTTGCAAGGTGTTTCAAAGCTTGAATGTGAAACTATGAAATAAAACACTTTTGAATTACCTTCAAACAGTAATATTTGTGTGATAGTTTTTGATTCAGAAAAACGGTTCAGCTCCTATGGTACTTTAAAAAGTGTAACTAATGAAAAAAAAGCGTGTTCTAAAGCGCCATCCATCAATTTAAGCATTAAGCATTTGGAATTATTTACCATTAATCACTATTTATTGGCTGTTTATCATTGCTGTGGCGTTAACAACATCTTCCAAACCGTTGATGATCGGTTTTGTAAGTACTTATTTTTCAACTTATCCATGGCTTTAGTGGCTGTTTTAGAAGTTTTAAAAGTAATTTTTTTCGGTTCTATTCTGGCATTAATTTAACTGCATTTATCATGACGAATTCAATTTACAATCAATACCCGTTTCAACAACATAGCAACACATAGGACGACGAAAGATTTTAAATAAAGCTTACATTTGACCATATCTGACGAAATATGAAAAACCCCAAATGCTAATCGTTGATATGATCCAATGTATTTTTTAATGAATGCCATAGCTTACTTGCTTAAAAGATAATCTATAAAGTACAAATAAACAGCTTCAAATATATGCAATTGCTTGAGTTGAGCAGAGAACCAAAGGTTGTTGATTGCAAAAAATATGTCAGAACTAAACTGAGAATTCTACAAACACTAGAAACTGAAGAAATAAAAGAAATTAAATAATGTCCTGCAGAAGCTTATACAAAAAGAGATAATGTAGAGAGTTGTAAAATATATCTTTGGTTAATTAATTATTCGAGTCCCGGAATTCAAAAGATTTCAAATGCATAGCCAACCAATAAAATGAGAATAATCTAGCATGCTTTCTTCCATAACATAGTAAGTTGTAAAATCCTAATTTGGGGCGGAGTTTACAAAAATAATAGGGAATTAGTGGAAAATATACAGAAGGAAACTTGGAAATTGTAAATAAAAATAATTTTGTTGTTTAGAGCAACCAGATAAATTTAGAACAATTGTTCAGCTGTGAATCTCCAAGCGAAAACTACTGCGATCTCAAAAATCAATACCTCAATTCCAATACCATAATTAGAAACAAAAGCATAATTGTTACTAAACACATTTTGATAGTGAGTAATAAGAATAGTTATATAAGAGCCATTAATGTTTTTACCAATCTGCCAAATGAATTTAAAATTTTAGGTACTGGGATAGTATCTCAAAAAATAGAACTAAAGAATTCGATGTAACTCTGAGTATTGTACGATGTATTATGTGTGTTTCTTAGATTAGATTTATATTTTCTATATTGCGGAATGACGCATGTATTTTTAGTTTTGGGAGATTGTAAAGTGTATTTTTGTGATATACCCAGTTCTGTAAACTATCTATTCTGTAAAGTATCTCAGCGGGTTTTCTGGTGAAGTTCACTATGTAAATTTATACTGGTTCAATAAAAAAAATAGATAAATAATATAAATATTAAAGTATATATATTTAATTTGAAATTCCTCCAATACATCGCTTAAGAAAACAATTAAAGGCGATTGGTGCACCCTCTCTAGTGAATAAGAAAACTAATAGCCTAAAAAGGCGACAAGCACCCTCTGAGGTGAATGCATCCAACTGTTTGTACATAATGTGACCTCTTGTAATGAATACATCGAACTAAATTTCACAAAGGCGCCATCGATAGTGAATAGGTCCAACTAATTATCTTAAGAGGCGCCCTCTGTAGTGAATAAGTGGAACTAAATTTCACAAAGGCGCTTTCTATAGTGAATAGGTCAAAGTAAAAGTCTAAGTTCGACTTATTCACTTCAGAGGGCGCTTTTGTCGATTTTAGCTCGACCTATTCGCTTCACGTTGTCCAAACAACCGAAAAAAAAGTCGGCTCGTTTGATAAGTAATGTTTTCCGAGCAATGGAACTGAGTTACTGCACCGGTGCGTTAGGTTGGTGCACCAAGCCATTTTAATTCCTAAAATCCTTTTCCAAATCCAAATCCTAAAAATTCATTGAGTTACCCAGGCCTACATCAAGAGTAGGTGATTTCCGAATAGGAACTCATCCCTGTTTTGTCTATTTTGACCGAAGTGATAGCCAATAATGTTATAGCTACCAAATTGAAGATAAAATAATTATAAAATAGGGAGTGTGAAAATTGAGTAACTTTCTGCAAGAAGATATCAAGATATAAACTAGAGTTTTATTTTAGCTGAAAACGCTGATACTACATTTTTATTTACAAGAAAGCGCAGCTTTCTGAGTTCAGAGCAGACTCTGTTTATTAAAGCGCTTCAGACATCTTTCTAGCTCTTCGGTTTATACCAAATCGCAGAAAAATAAACAGAAAAATCTGATTTCAAATTACATTTTTTAAAGATTCTACTAATTACTAACTATACAAAAATTTTAATTCTTGCTTGTGGACCTGAAACTATCAACCTGTATTAAAAAAGATAAGCTAAAAGTTAGTTTGCTGTTTGAGTCATCAAAATAAACTTTGTTTAGCCGAATATTAGTCAGTTTCAATTATTTCACAATTCAAGATAATATTTCACAATTATAGAAATATATTACATATTTTAAACGTCTGAAAATATTACATTAATCCAGTTGATCTAATAAGATTTATTTATATATACTTGAGAGAATTACTGAAACCAAGTAGTATTGCCTAAAATATCTAAAACGGACTGTTTTGGATTCACCGTGAAATTATTTTAATTCTAATCTAGACTATTTTCGGATTTTTTAACGCGAATTTTGACACACGTTAACTTGTTTACCTTACAAAAATAGTGATTTGCGCAGCTTAAAACGTGTTTTCATTATGCGTTTTTGTTTACGCAAATCTCTAATATGATATTTAACTCATTATTTATGTTACTAATTATATGTGTATTGGTATTACTTTATGATCAATCTGAATCTCATAAATATTAAATATTTAAAATTGAATACTATCTAGTTCAGTAATATTTTAATAATGAATGAAAAAGTTGAAGTATTATTATTATTTTATTAAACATAAAAATCGAAAGTTTTACAGTAGGTATTAGTCGTATATTTAGAAAGGTGCTGCTGAGGGACGGCTAATAGCACCTTAGCATTTTGATGCCTCAAATGAGACAATAATTGCCATTACTGATAATAAATTTTGAATGATCCACATATACCTAATGATTTCTTAACGAATAGAAATTTCAATTAAAATCTTAATTTTCTGTTATAATCAGTTTTTATTTTGTAATGGTTTTGGTTTTTTTATTCTTTATTGTTATACCTATTAGAAGTTATGTCAATAAATAACTAATAAAACAAGTAATTCGGTTTCCTCTTATTGATACATAGTACATAATTACTATTAATTAAATTTGTGTTGATGCTTAATAACATGGTAAATAAATGGCTTATTGAGTATTAGCGTCCCCAATTTGTAGATGTGGTGTTTAATTTAGTGGGTTTTGGGCAATTGGAATGAAACTCTTTACTTTTTTGAAAGAGCCGACGTTACCACTGTACCTATAGTTGGTCTTCTTGAAGGCTAACTAATACCGTTGATATATACTTTTTCAATTAACGCTAATACGTATAGGGGCATTAGGGGCGTTTAATTTCACAGATTCTCCAGCAACATTATTTAAAATATAATAAAAAAATTTCTTAGTCGGCTATTCCTTAGCTACTACGGGCGCAAATAATAGTGTTGTTCGTGTATTAATTTTAATCAAGTTTATTTCATAACAGCTAATAAGCGTTTAATGTGGTAGTTTAAAAATATATATTAATTTTCTTAACAAAAATGAATTGTATTTTAAATAATGTTGCTGAAGAGCCTGTGAAGTCAAACAACTCTAATACCCTTAAAGCCCTATATGTACTATTTAGCCTTGAAGAGGACCAAATATATGGTCGAAACGTCGGATCATTAAAAAAAGTAGAGTTGCATTCCAATTGTCCCAAACCCGCTAAATTAAATACCACAATTGTAAATAAATTGTAAATTATCGTCAACTAACAAGTCAAC